GAAGTACATAATTAAAGCTGTGTCTGAAGTACATAATTAAAGCTGTGTCTGAAGTACATAATTAAAGCTGTGTCTGAAGTACATAATTCTTTTTTTAAATGCGTCTGAAGTATATAATTAAAGCTGTGTCTGAAGTACATAATTCTTTTTCAAATGTGTCTGAAGTACAAAATTCATTTTTTAAATGTGTCTGAAGTATATAATTAAAGCTGTGTCTGAAGTACATAATTCTATTTTTAAAACTGTTGCTGAGGTATACAATTCTATTTCTCCTATTTCTGCCTAATAGAAGAAACAGATAGGAAAAAAAACCGGTAACGAGAAGGAAAAGCAACAAGTCAAGTACACAGAAAATAAAAAACAGGGATAAATATATTCAAACTTACGCTTTGTTGGCAGAGGTGGCGCTGGAGGTGCATTAGGGGCAGATGGTGGTGTGTTTGGTCGAGGAAGTTGCTGGTTATTTTGTTTGACTATGCTCCTAGACCTGGTTTTCAATTTCTCATTTTTAACGCGCTCTAATTAAAAAAAAAAGTTCGTGACACTGAATTGGTGACGAAATAGTGCTAGGCTAACAGTAGCACAAAACAATCTTCAGAAAATGGAATTTTAGTATCAAATACCAGAGTAGACAAAGGTTTACGGTTTCGTTTGGATGTAGTGAGTTGAATATTAGGAAAGATCTAAAAAAAAAAACACACAATCAGAAATAATACTTGCTTCACTCTTCACAAACTCCAAAAATGGTTTTTGGAACTTTAGATTTGCAATTATAGACGAGAACACTTATATACAACCAACCTGGAGTGATAGCTCGATTATACACACCCTTTCATAAGGTGACCGATTTTCTAAATGAGACCAACTAGATACAACTATTAACAGACAAAATATTAACGTAACATCTTTGCGTGTATTTGGATTAAATTGAAAAAGTCGATATATATATATATATACATAAATAAATAAATCTAATCAAAACTTTTTATGAATACAAAATCCACTAATGTAAAATAAAGATGTGATATTAAAAAAGTCGTTACATAAAAGGGCAAGACCTGTAAAGATTTAAAACAATGAAAAAATTGAAGAAGACTTGGTCCCTTTTTTATATTGTTACGTCTCCGTGTGTTAATTAATTTTCCGTAACTTCGTTCCGACGAAACTTAAGCGACACAAGTTCTTTACTTACTAAAACTGGTTTATTCTTTCCGAATACAACTTTACCGATACACTTATTCTCAACAGTCGCGTTATAACAAACTATAATAAGGAACGAACGTTAACTACAACAATACGTCTCTCTCTGACTGCAGTTCAATTACTCACTATCTACACACACATTACATTACCTTCCCGCGTCACGTTTTCCCCTCTTATATATATACCAGCCTACCCTACTAGTAAATCCTAGAGCATTCGCCAAAGTACATGATAATTCTAGAAACGTTGCGTCACTGTAGTCATGTGACTGCTGACGCAACAATATTCATGTTGCTGCATATTCAAATTTCAATAAAAACAATATATATGCAAGATATATGTGTGTGCGTGTGTATTTCATATTTTTTTGATATATATATATATATATATACACCTAAGAAAAAAGTTAAGCACCCCGTTGTTTTTTCATGTGATTCAGATTCGACGTTCTTGTGACTGATTATAAATTACC